AACCTGCCAGCCCCATTCTTTCCTAGAAATCCGGCACAACTGCTGGCACAGACGGCTGGGAAGGGGGCCGCGGCCAACGCGGGACCTGTGAGGCACACCTCCGTCAAGAGTGTGAGCTTCACTTTTGTTGCTGGCTTCCATCAGTTCTCTATCAAGTCACGAATATTTTTTCATCTTGGTTTTGATATAAAGCTACTGTCTTATGTTTAGCAATAAAGTTGTAAATCAACCAGATTTGAGTGAGCTGATCACATGGAGGGTGAGTGTTTATGTAAGGGCCACTAAAAATGATCTGATCAACATTAGAAAGTCTGGGTAATTACTTGTTAGGAGGATGTGATGATATTTTGCCACATCTGTGAGAATCTTGCTAAAAGTTCTATAGGCCGAAGTTTTCAACTCAGTTACAAATGCAACTGCATTTTCTCCTACTTAGTGTTATGGAATGGAAGATGTATAGTGTGTCAAAATGTTGAGCGATATCATTTCAGGATCAACACAGAAATGAAAAAAGTGCAGATGACTTCCCTTTTGCTGCAATTCACTCTGGGAGGCATGTCATGAAGAGCACTATACAAAAGCAATTTTCATTGATTGACTGACTGACTGAGGAAAAAGGGTAAATGCTCTTTTTAGCTTACATCCCCACTGAAGCAGGATTCTTACAGCTTCTGACAGCTAGTCACAACCTGTAGTTAAATTCCATGTTACCAAACAACAACAAAGATGAAATAACAATGAAATAAAAAAAGAAGAGAGGGAGAAATAAAACCACAACTAGAACTTTTCTGGGACTTTAGCACTTTTGAGCAAAAAGATAGATAAGGATAAGATAAATTCAAACCTGACCTCTCTGATCCTTCTATGTCACATGTATAGATATGAAAGTAAAACTGCTACAAATACTTGTTAATAAGCTAACTGCGTAGGAGAACACTTAATGCTTCTGTGGGAGGTGTGTTCTTTCTAGGGCAACTGCTTTCCTTTGATGTTCTCGGCTGGAGAAGCATTCAGTGTCCCGTGTCCTGTCCTTCTCATTTCAAAAAGAATCAGTCTGTCAAGTGCCCCTTCTAACCCAGCACACCTTCCACTCTGCGACATAACCAAGTGAACGCTTCTCTATGGTTATAGTAGCAAATACTCACCATCAATGATGGAACCAAGACATTCACTCACAAAAGGTAACTTCCTAATTACTGTATTAGACCAGTGTCTCATCTATTAATCAGGAGTAATTAGTAATACTAACACTGCTATCATTGATTTGTTTATAACATTTTTAGTTTATTCTTTTTTTTGGGGTCTGGTCATGGGGCCTGAACTCTGGGCCTGGGCGCTGTCCCTCAGCTCTTCAGCTCAAGGCTGGCGCTCTACCACTTGAGCCACAGCGCCACTTCTGGCTTTTTTTCTTTTTGCTTATGTGGTGCTGGGGAATGAACCCAGGGCCTCATGCATGCAAGGCAAGCGCTCTACCACTGAGCCACCTTCCCAACCCTAGTTTATTCTCTTAATGACATTAAAACACTTTAGGAATCCTTCCTCCAATTTATGCAAACTGAGTTTTTCTCAACTGTTAAGTTTAAGCAGTAAAGGCTAGGCAACACCTTTCACTTCAACCAGACTCAAAGGAACTAAAGGTGGATGTTTACAAAGTTACATTTGTATGTAAAGCATGGAAGATGGCCAACTTGAAGAATGTATATATATATATATATATATATATATATATATATATATATTTTTTTTTTTTTTTTTTTGGGTCCAGTCGTGGGGCCTGAACTCTGGGCCTGGGCGCTGTCCCTCAGCTCTTCAGCTCAAGGCTAGTGCTCTACCACTGAGCCACCTTCCCAGCCCTGAAGAGTATATTTTTTAAGACAATGTTTCAAGTTGTATAGTGGGTAGTAATAAATACTTCCAAGTTGACTCCAGGCACTCAAAATTTCATTCCCAGGTTGCTGCATACAAACAGAAAAGCCTGAAAGGAGGCTGCCTACTTAAATCCATGCATCCTCTACTATGGAATGAGAGGAGGTAACTTCTGCAGTTGAGAGCTGACTCTCTTCATGCAATTAAGCTTTCAGCAAAATAGGCCCAGGCTGGAGGAAAAGAGTTCAAACTAGTAAATAATTGCAGCATCATTGCATCAGTTTAGCTTAAAGAGCTGACAGGCCCTCTCTAAACTCCAAGCACAATTAGTCATTAGGGTCTACTTTTCCATCACTGCTGAGCGATTTGTAACCCATTCCTCTTAACAGGGTTAGGCAATACTCAACGGACACAGATGCCCTGAAAACCAAAACCGCACGGTTAGAAGCAGCCACCTTGTTTACTACCTTCCGTGATAGGCAAATCATCTACAAAAAACAGTGTTTAATGGGCAATCAATGAATAACCAATGAGTCACTTTTCATCTGAGGGTGAAAATGAGAATAATCTAATACAAGGCCCCTCTGGTGAGGGGGACCTGAGGTTCTGCTGCTCTTCAGGGCTGATTTATAAGGTCTTAGAAAGCTGATGTACACAGACCATCAGGGGGACCCATCCCCGCTCATAATAACCCCCAACAGGCCCACTCCCTCTTTTCCAAGTCTATCCCCTCAGGCTATTAGTTCTGTCCGGCTAATTCTTCCCACCGCTCCTGCCGGCTGCTTTTACCCTGACCATCCGTTCAGCCCAGCCGACTCAGAAGTAATTTTATACGCAGCAGAGAGCGGGTGGAATTGATTTTTCACTCAGCACTCAGTTCCCATCTGAATAATTATCAATTTTAGAGCCTCATAAAGGGAAGAGTCAAAATTTCAAATCAATTCAAAAGAGCTTTTGAGACGACAGACCCTGTGCATAAGAACAGAGGTCAACGTGGTCGGTGACCTGAGGAGATGATGTCAGGTATTACCATGCCCAATAGCTGACATCAGAGACGATAGAAACCCGGGCCGATGCAAATCCTATGTATGCTGACTACCAGGGGCCAGTCATCAATATTTAAAATGTATCTGAAAGCCTACAATCCAAATAAATAGAATGCATTCCGTTGTTAATAAAGATTTATCACATCTCAGTCATATACAATAAAGTGAAAGATTACCACCTCTTATTAACACAGAGAGATTATTTAAGCCAGCAAATGCAAGGTGGTCCTGAGTAAAGACACACTTGATGCTCTCGTGCACCACCATTTTCTGTGCTCACAGATGATCAATTTTGGGTAAAACTTTCTGCTACAGATTATGGGACAACGCAGCGATTACCGCTCCATGTTGGGTGAGTGACTTGGCTTTAGACTTGTCTCTTGCTATGGCGGGGAGGGCTGGGTCTGATTTCTGGAAAATCCATGAATATTGATTTTCTTTCGTCTGGCACAGTGCTCATGTGTTTGGTGCTGACGTAGAGCATGTATTTACTAGAGGAAATAAATAACCATGGATTTGCCAGATTCCCAGGAAATCCTCTCCCCTTGCTGCACCACCCACCTGTTGTAACCGTTCAGGGTCAGACCAATCAGTTGCAGACCTACAGCCCCTTGGTCATTACTCAAAACATGAATACACCCCTACCCAATCCATACACAGAAAATAACTGCTAAGCTGAACATTCACCACAAATAGTTTACATAAGCTCTTTTAAGTATTAATTTTCATTAAAGTTTAAATATTTAAATTGGATTTAATTATCATGGCTGTCTCATTCTATTTTCATCATTGTCTTTAATCTGGGCGATATTTTTTGATGATTACAGCTGACTTAAATGCTAACTACTGACAAGGTAGCAAGAAACTAAGTATTTACATTTGTAAATCATAGATTAGTATGGACACAATTTGGCAAAAGGAAACAACTCAGCAGGGTGCTGGTGGCTCAGGCCTGTAATCCTAGCTACTCAAGAGGCTGAGATCTGAGGATTGTGGTTAAAGGCCAGCCAGGCAGGAAAATCCATGAGACTTATCTCCAATTAACTGCCAGAAAACTGGAAGTGGAGGAATGGCTCCAACTGGCAGAGATCTAGCCTTGAGCAAGAGAGTCAGGGATAGCATCCAGACCCCACGACTGACAAAAAAAGACAAAAAGAAAAACATAGGAAGATATTATTTTTCCAATTTAGTGGATACAGAATTATCAGTAGTGTACCCACTAAAAAGGCATGTATGTTCTGGGCTTGTACATTCTGTGCTTTGGTGTACAGGGTCTTATGCTTGCTAGGTAGGTTCTCTGCCACTTGAGCCACATCCCCAGCACTTTTTGCTTTAGCTTATTTTCTAGGTAGGGTCTTGTGTTTTACCTGGGATCTGGCCTCAGACTGGCATCCTCACGGTGCTTACCTCCTGTGTGGCTGGGTTTACAAGTGTGGGCGTGCTTTGGGGATATGGTCTTATCACATCCCCCCCCCTCCCGCCCCCCCTCGGCTGGCTTCCAGCAGCTCCAACCTTCGGTTCCCCCTCACATCTACTTTTTGAGTAGCTGGGATTATAGACTATATCCTGTATATTCATTTTAAAATGCACATTGTGAACTGTGATTTGCAATTTAAAGTTTGTAATTTAAAACTTAGACTGAACTCAAGTTAGCCAATTAGATAGTACAGTTGAAAAGAAAAGCATGTGGGTTGTTAATTACATGCTCTTGGGAAATATTACCTAACTTGCCTGAAGAGTGATTCCTAATGTGAACTTGGGAAGAACACTAACTATGCTGTGCTGGTTCCTAGCAAGTGGCCGCAGACAGCAGATTGAAGATGGATTTTTCAGAGGCTCCAGGTAAGAAGTCAGGGTGACTATTTCTAGCTCCAGTGTGCCTACCTTTTCTCTGGCCTCTGTGGGTTCGGGTTTGCCAGGGTGAGCTGAGTGACACGCAGGTACTGAGGCCGGGGCCCTGGGACCAGTGTACATCAGCTTTCAGGGAAAGAACTCCTAGAGAGCAACTGCTAAAGAGCCTTGGCAGCAAATAGAAGGGAAGTGTAGGGAGCAGGCTGGCTTCTGGGAAATATGTGAAAGCTAGATTACCTGCTGAAGAACATCTGGGTTTTGCTGCATAAAGTGTAATAGTCTCTGACCAGCTTGAACAGCCTCTCGGCATCGAAGTGTCTTCTTGCCTTCTTTGGCAATGTGCTTGAAGAGGTAAGTGACGATGTAGTCTAAACTGGTACAGCAGCTGGAGGAGACAACTGTATCTGTATGAATAGTAAATAAGGGTTCATTTGCATTGTTGAGGTGTTTGCTGCATTCCATTATAAAGTTTGTTTAAAAAACCTGATTTTCAGTCATTAACGTCAAACTCTAAGTTCCTTGGAAATAAATTCTTGTTTTTCTAAACCTGGTGTGCACCTAGGCCCTAGCACAGAGGAGACACATAAGAAAATGATATCCTGGTCTGCATTGGACGGAGGTCTCCATTTGGGTCTTGCACACGTCTGCTCAGTTCAAGCAAAGTTTATGAACTATCTACTTAGTGTAAAGTTCTCTACCTCAGGTGCCCTGGGTGTAATCTTCATCCTGATGTCAAAGAACTCAGTTTAATGCAGAAGTCACTGTGTCAAAATGAGCAACATATGACGTGTATGGCTTTGAGGGCGAACTCATGTTGGTTTGGGGTCAAGGAGAGTATAGTGAAGGAGCCCTGGAGTTGGGCTTGGAAAGAATATTCCAGTTAGATCTGAGGAAGGTCATTTTCAGGCAGAGATGAACAGGAGGCAGTACAGTGTAAAGGGGGAAACGGATTTTAGAGCCACACATCCTTTTCAATGATTTGCTGTGCTATTACTCTGAAAAAGGCATTTTATTTCTCTTACCATTTGTAAAATACTTTGCAGACGGCAATGAGAAGAAAATAAGGTTATCAGTAGTAAAAGTGGCTGGTATTATTGACAGCTTACTATGTGTTATCACAGTGTTAAAAGTTTTACATATGGGAACACTAAGACTCAGATTAAGTGAAATGTCCAGTGACACATCACTAGAATACTGTGGTGGCCAGCATATGAAAATAAAGGAGTTGAGACTGTAGATCTGTATCCTTAATCTCTAAAGTAAAACCAGGTGTTAAGCGAAAAGTATAAGCAAACATTCAAGTGTCTTCTTCAAACCCCTGGGCACTCCAGAGCTGGCTGACCCAGGGAAGCAGACGGACTCAGCAGAATGCCTGGCTTGAGGAGGGAGAGAATGTATAGGGGTCATGAGGGAAGGCTAACCCAGCACACTGGGGTCTTCCTTGATGTTGACGTTTAGCTGGTATTATTGAAGGTTTTCTGAGTTTGTAATTGGTGTGATAGTACCCCCCAGATTAACTTCTCATTCACATCTAACTACTATTGTGTAGGACATGAATTATTTTCATTTTGTAATATGTAAAAGCTAAGGTTAGGATATAGCTTATGTCTAGCATGCACAAGTCCTGGGTCTGATCTACAGCACTGAAAAGGGGAGAAGAAAATGAAAACTCCCTGATTACATGGTTTATTCAAACTCCGTAATTTCAACTCATAGCATAGATGGTGCCCATGATTTTTGGCTAATGATGGCATACAAACACAAGTTTTTTATTGGTAAGAAAAATGATTAAAAATGATAAGTATAATAGCTCCAGAAGAGAAGTGTGTTATAGATTTCATACTCTCAGACTGGTAAAAATAATTTACCAAGAGGAGTGGAGAAGCAAAGGCTTATTAGCATGCTGCTCAGAGAAGTAAAGGGCATCTAAGCAATACAAGAGTATCTCTGCTGCCATTGTGCAAGCGTATGTGGTTGGGGAAAGGCTTTTAGCGAGCTTCCTAGGATTCTGATTGGCTGCTTCCTTTTCCTCGGCCATGCTGATTGGTGGTTGCTTCCTCAGCACATAGTTTGGATTTTGTGGGTGTGTTTCTAACACGCTGCCTTCACTCCCTCACCCCTCTTGGCTCTTGGTAGTCTGCCATATCTCCCCAAGCAGGACTTTCTTCCACAGAGGAGATGAGACAGTCGGGTTGAGAAGTAACAGTAACAGAATAGTTTCTTATCATTTTATTTATGCTCAGACACATATATGTCTAAAATACACTAGAAGTGAAATACTGTCCGAGTATAAAAATGGGTGGGTGAACTCCCTTGACAAATTTTTCTAGGGAGGGTCATGAGTTCTGTTGAGAAATAAGACCACTTGGCATCGCTATCATATTAAAAGCTTAAAGCTGCGCATCATTTGAATGTGAGGTGTCAGGGAAAGTTAAACAAGAAGGAGGTGTAGGGGAGACCTGACACAGAGACAGGGGGATAGACCTGACACAGAGACAGGCAGACAGGGGAATAGCAGCTGGAGCAGGAGTGCAAGGGCAGAAGAGTAAGGGAAGTAACAGACAAGATACAAACAGCAGTTTTGGAAAAGGAGAGGACTATAAAATTTTTAGGAAAGAAGGTTTTGTTTTCTTCCTCATAAAGTGATGGAAATTTGGTGAATCAACTGGTTGACTTCTTTGTCTTTCCCACTAACTGGGATTGCTCTGTACAAAGAGAGCATCGGTTACAGAATCTGGGAGGTAGTACAGGCTTGGGCTATCAGGCAGATGTAGATTTGTTGAGTTGGTTTGTTTTCTTTTTCTTTCACATCTCTACATTTGAAGTCCCAGTTATAAAAACAAACAGATTAAGTACCTTAACACCTACAACAGCAAGCAGAAATTGAGGTGGTCATGTTCACAAGTGAGGAGCACTATGCTATCAATCATACAAAAGTTTATGGACTTTACATGGATTTGGTGACTGTGCATGGCATATGCACTGCATTAAAAGGTTTCAATCTGCTCACTCGGCGGTGGAAAAGCAGGCAAACACTTTAGACAATGGCTGGGGCACAACGCCTTGCAATAAAAGCAAGAGGAGCCTCCATTATGGCTGATTGACCGTTAGGGGCTTTGAAAAAGATACATACTACTTCTAGGTAGATTTAAACATGTGCAATCATAAGGATCAAGGGCATTTGGTCAAAAACAATGAATAATGCTAAGGATGGGGTTGGAGGTATGGCGCTGCTGGTAGAGCACTAGCCAATGAGCAAGAGTGTCAGGTACTGAGTTGAAGTCCCATCTCTGACCTTAAAAAAAGTACTACAGACTAGGTGTCACTGGCTTTCCTTACACTGCAGGTCAAGCTATCCCATGTGATTCATACAGGGGACGCTTCTGACAAAAGGGTGTGTGGACATCAGAGCTTTAGATTCAGTAGTAGTTCTTGGCTTTTAATGTTTCTCCTCTGGTTCCAGAGTAAGATTTCAGGGCCTCACACTCGCTTGGCTCATTTATTCAGCTGCTGTTCTACCACCTGAGCCATGTTTCCTCTCAGCATTTTGTTGGTTATTTTAGACACAAGAATCTTGTGGACTTTTCTGCTTAGGCTTGCTTTGGAGCTCAGACTCCTAGTCAGAGCTAAGATTACAGGTGTAAACCATGACATGTCTTAAAATCTTTTTTTTTTTAAAAAGGGTAACATCCATCATGTAGACAAATTTGGATTTTTTTTTGATATGTGGTTTTGAACTCTGGGCCTCGCACGTGTGAAGTTCACATTCTATCGCCAAGCTACACCTCCAGTCCTGGAAATAATTTTAAGTATATTAGGTCCCGTTCTCTCTGGCAACTGGCCTCCACAGGAAGCACATGCATCATTAATAGCCCCCTGCTTACGAAGAGGCATCATGGAAAGCTGTGCTGAGAAGGTAGCTGTGTGGGGAAGAGTTGCTTAACTGAGAGTCACGAAGAGTGATAACCAGCCGAGCCCAAACGCGCTTCAGCTCAGAACCCCTGGCCACAGCAGAAGGATGAAGGTTTTGGAAAAATATAGTTTAAAAGGCAATTTCAGAGACAAAAGTGCCATTTGAGAGGCATAGTGCTGGAAACAGAGGGGCACAGGTTTAATCTATATTACTTAAGATGTTTGACTCCACTGAGGTTTGAAGGCATTGTGTAAAATATACTACATACTTCCTACTTTTTGTACACGATGTGAAACATTAATGAGATACACTATGTAAAGACTGAAACATAGTGCCTGACACACAGGGAGGGTTTCTTTTTTTTTGCTTCTTTCTTGGCAATTTCAATCTCTCTAAATACCAAGCTTGACAGACTATTCAAAGATCTCTTTGCTCTGAACAGGTGCAATCACGCCATTCAGGGGACACTGTGGAAAACGACCTGTGTCACTTTTAGGCAGGGGTGGGAGGAAAGCAAAGGAAGAGGTGATGCTGTCCAGGAAAGAAATCTACTCATTATCTGACTTACGAACTGGCAATCCTCTGTGCCCCACCTTAATAAGTATAAAATTACAAGAACAAAAAAGTTTAAAAAAATCTCTTTTCTCTTTCACATTATTTAATGTCTGTAAATGCTAACATTATTTCTTCAGTGCTTTGCTTTCACATTATGATTATACTGTATGTGCTACTCAGAAATGTGTTCAAACCAAGTGTGGCTGCTCACACTAGAAATTCTACTTGGAAAACTGAGATTGAGAGGATCATGGCTTGAGGCCAGATGAGCAAAAGGTTCATGAGACACCTACCTCCATGGGAAAAGACTTCATGAGACCCCACCTCACTGTGGAAAAAGGTTGGCACAGTGGCATGGGCCTGTTCCAGCAGCCACAGCAAGAGGCATAAATAAGAGATGGCAGTCTAGGCTTGCCCAGACCAAAGACAAAATCCCATCATAGAAGTAACCACAGAAAGTCAGGTGTGGGGGCTCAAGGCTGTAACCCTAGCTATGTGGAGGGTGGAGGTTGAAGACCCTTGGTTGGGACCAACCAGTTCCTGAGACTCCATCCTGACCAACAGCTGGGTGGAACGGCAGGTGTCTCATGTGGACAAGGTGCAAATTGGGGAATCACAGTCATCCTACCCAGGAATAAAGCAAGACTCTATTTCAAAAATAACCAGAACAGGCTAGGAAGTTGGCTCAGTGGTAGAGTGCGTGCCTTGCATGCATGAAGCCCTGGGTTCGATTCCTCAGCACCACATAAACAGAAAAAAAAAAGCCGGAAGTGGCGCTGTGGCTCAAGGGGTAGAGCGCTAGCCTTGAGCTGAAGAGCTGAGGGACAGCGCCCAGGCCTGGAGTTCAGGCCCCACGACCGACAAAACAACAACAATAACAACAACAACAAAAAAAATAACCAGAACAAAGAGGGCTGGCAGAGTGGCTCAAGTGGTAGAATGCCTGCTCAGAAAGCATGAAGCCCTAAGTTCAAATTCCAGTACTGTCAAAAAGTAGAGGAGTAAGAATACATCCTGTTTACATATATTAATGATGAATTTCATCAGTTACTAGCTGGTTCTACTTTTTGCCTGCCCTTACCGTTCCTGACCAAGGAAGCCCTCTGCCCCGAGCCTCCCTGCCTGCTCCAGCCCAAGCTCTCCACCGTGCTCCCAACCCTCCTCCTAGCAGGTCCCTGGAAACGGCCATCGCCCATTCCAATCACTTGCTCAGCACTTACCATAGTCTATCTTCTGATACGTGCTCGTCTTCCATTGACTGTTTCTCTCTCACCCTGCAAGTCAAGCTTTCCTGTGACCAGGCCTTTTTTATCTTGTCTTTTTCAGTACATCGTACAGTTTGTGCACAACTAGAGATTACTGAATAAAGGAGTTGTGAGTCCTAAGAGAAGCATCTCATAAGCCTTGTATCTGGTCTCTAAGTGAAAAAGGATGTGAGTGGATGGGTGATAAAAAAATAGACTAAAATTAAAAATGCCATCAGTTCTACGTTCAGACTTGGGGCACACAATCTACCTCTGACTCCCATTTCCTTCCGTTGAGGCCCCTGACAGTGTAATGAAAACCTGCATGCAGCTCCAACAAAACCAGTGTAATGCTACTGAATGCAAACAATATACTTTACCTGTCAGCCTCATCTTCAGCCTGCGATGCCAATGTGCAACGCAAGAGGCTGCAGATAAAAATCATGAGTGCAGAGAAGATGGTTTCTTCTAAGCATCTAGCTGTGGAAGCTGCAGCCTTTATCAGCAGCGTGGTGGGATGAAGAAGGGACAGACTACTGAGTCAGGTAAACCACTTTACCTTCTGAGCCACAGCCTACTCATCTGTGTAATCCAAGTAATGCTACCCTTAATTCATTCTCTAAATCGTCAGTGAGCACGGACTTCACCCTTGGAGCAAGGAACTCTGCCCGACCTCTAGGAGCATGCAGTCCGGTGGGAAGTTGGAACAAGCGGTATTTTCCAAGTACCTCACGCACTCACATTTGGTGACAATGTGGATGGGCAAATTCAGGCTCTGAGTGTGTGTCCACTGACAATACACCTAATGGGTGCCTGTTCTGTCAAGATTCTTTGAGAGTCTTGTTATAATGCAGATTCCAAGCCTGACCACGATCATAGTTTGAGAATAACATAGCTATCTACAAGGAATTCAAAATCCACAGTATTACCTGATCTGAGAAAAAACAATGTCAAGCTAAGCTGTAATAATAAAAGACAAGACTTCTGCTTCTGTCCATGAAGGATTAGCTGCGATGAGAATTCGCCCTCCTGCCATAAACAACCAGCAAACAGGACAAAATATATGAAACAACAGTTCTCAATTACTGCACAACAAGTAGTACAGGCCTTTAAATGAGGGAAGAGGGAAAGGAAGGAGCAAACCCCACCACTGTGAGGCTGGTTGGCCAAGCAGTGTTCAGGCTGTGGGTCAGGAAGCCGGGGTGGGGAGGGTGAGGCAGCGGTATCTTGCGGCAGCTCTATCTCCTGGCATGTACACGTACAGGAGACGCTCATGGATAGCTGCACAGGAGTCCTTTCTAGTGTTTGTCCAAGTGTGAGAAGAAAGCTCCCGAAAGCTCAAAACCAGCACAGCTCACTGGTGCGTCCTCACCGGGCCGGCCCCTTCGTAGTGGGCTTAGCGACTCCAAAAGAAAGACCATACTTTGAGCCAAGCAAGGTAAACTGACCCAAAAACTGAAAGGACATCCAAAATCTTATTTTTATTTATTTCCTTTTTGCCAGTGCTCCAGCACTGCTCCTGAGCTTCTTTTGCTCAAGGATAGTGCTCTATTACTTGAGCCACAACACCACTTTTGCTTCTTTCTGAGCACTTTACTGGAGATAAGATTCTCATGGACTTTCCTGCCCAGGCTGGTTTTGGACTGCGATGCTCAGATCTCAGCATCTTGAGTAGCTAGGGGTTACAGGTGTGAGCCACTGGTGCCTGGCTATCAAAATTCAAAATCTAACAAGAGACAAAATACAATTGCTAATGTCTGGCATTTATTAAAAAAAATCACAAAGGCATAAAATGTGAAAAATATATGACCAAAAAGAGAAAAACAAGTGAGCAGAAGCCAATTCTGAGATGACTTTAAAAGTTATAAATAGGATTAAAGTTAAGGGAAAACATGAACTTGACAAGGAGACGAGAGACAAAGACAGGGATGAAAAAGGCTGTGCTGCGCACGCCTGGAGCCTCGCCTCTTTGAGAGGCTGTGGAGTGTGTGGCCGGCCTACTCATTCCTTCTCACAAAAGGGATAAAAAAAAGAGCATAAAAATACAATGTCTGCCGGGCGCTGGTGGCTCACGCCTGTAATCCTTGCTACTCAGGAGGCTGAGATCTGAGGATCGCGGTTCAAAGCCAGCCCGGGCAGGAGAGACCATGAGACTCCTATCTCCAATAAACCACCAGCAAACCGGAAGTGGCGCTGTAGCTCAAGTGGTAGAGCGCTCGCCTTGAGCTGAAGAGCTGAGGGACAGCGCCCAGGCCCAGAGTTCAAGCCCCACGACCGACCAAAAAAAAAAAAAAAATACAATGTCTGAAGTTTAAAAAATATTTAGGATTAATAAGTTAGATTAAAATATCTAGAAAAGAGATCACTGAATTGGGGTTACAGCCATCAAAACTACTCAAAATGAAACACAGACAAGAAACTCTAAACCATTATAGGAAAGGATAAGAAAATACTAGGAACGTACTGGCACAGGCAGTAACTTTCTAACTAGAACTCCAGTAGCTCAGCAATCCCTACAGAATGGGAGAAGTCTCTTTGCCAGCTATACACTGACAAGGGATTGATAACCAGAATATACAGAGAGCTCAAGAAACTAAACTCTCAATGAATCAACAATCCAATTAATAAATAAGCAAATACATTGATCAGATACTTCTCAAAAGAATTTGATTATTGTATATTCATGAAGAGAAACATCACAGTAAAACCTCTTTTTACAGTTAAAACACTAATATGTTCAAGAGAAAAGGAAAATCTCTTCAGAAGATAAAAACCAAAAGTTAAGAAAGACTGCCAGATACATGTACAGTGAAGGATCTCCCACGGTGGGGCTGTCGGGGCGGGGTGGGGGGTGCGGGGTGGGGAGGGGGACTTTGGATGGAAGAAGCAGGCTTCTCTGTCTCCAGCCCCGTTCTCTTCTTCTCTCCATTCCTGACCATCACCAGGTGAGCAGAGCCAAGGAATTTCACTCTTATGTATTTACCCAAGAGGAAAAAGTGGTCATATAAAGTCGTGTCCAAGACTTGTTCATCATGGCTATATTCAAAGTATCAAATAATAGAGACAGTCCTATTGTCTGTGGCTGGCATGTGCACATCCTACACAGCAGCAGGGAGAGCAAGTGGACAGGTGAAACAGCACATAGAGATCTCAAGGGCATTATGATCAATGGAAGAAGCCGGACACAAATAATTTACTGGACTCTGTATGAGTCTCCATACAGGATATTCTTGGACGAGAAAGTAGACACTGGTTTCTTGGCACTGGAAGCAGGGATAAGGACTGCTCTGTAGGGACATGTGGACGTTTAGCATGGTGATGTACATTGGTTGTAGTAGCTCTTGAGTGTGTCCACATTTGTCAAGACTCCTTGAAAATGGTGTCTCAAAACTAGAGAATTTTATTATATTTAAGTTATGCCTCTTAATAAAACTTATTACAAACAAACTGTAGGGCTGGGAATGTGGCTCAGTGGTAGAGTGCTTTCCTAGCATGCATAAAGTCCTGAGGGGCTGGGAAGGTGGCTCAGTGGTAGAGTGCTTGCCTTGCATAAAGTCCTGGGCTCGAGTCCTCAGTCCCACATAAATAGAAAAAGCCAGAAGTGGCACCGTGGCTCAAGTGGTAGAGTGCTAGCCTTGAGCACAAAGAGGCTCAGGGACAGCGCCCAGGCCCTGAGTTCAAGCCCCAGGACTGGCAAAAAAAAAAAAAACAACAAAAGAACAACAACAACAATAACAAAAAAAACCTGTATATCAGAGTATGAAAACATGCATTTGCTACTTGAAATTAGTATTAATAAAATAATCAGTTTGACTTCATAGTATCTCTTTCTCCTTTGCTGGATTGAGTTCTTAATAAATACACAGGAAGAAACCACAACCAAGTTTTTCCTGTGAAGACAATGTGCATACCCCATCACCCTTACCAAGAGTCGTGAGTCCCTCGGAGATAGATGTGAGGACGTACAGGAGCACGGGAGCCTCCAAGTTGGTGATGAAGCCCATGTGGTCTTGGGTTAGACACTCCAGGAGCGGATAGTAAGACTGGCTCAGCTTCCGATATTGCTACAACAGGAAGAAGGCCAATCATATGATTGGAAATTGTATACTCACACACAAAGTCAACAAATCAATAAGACAATGACTAATTCCAATCCAGAGTTTAAAGAGATCCTGATAGGAATCTCTTGATCTCTAGAAACCTGCATTTGATAGGTTATTCCAACTTACCCTATATGGCTAACACTTAAATGCTAGTAAAATCCTTAAGGTAAATTATTTTTCTGAACTGGAGTATTGTAACACCACATAGTGCTTAATAAATAGCAAGCAGGCAATCTTCCTTTTTTGGGTAACAAAGAAATTTGCTGTTATAATAGGATTTGGCATAATGGTCTGCTTATTATTATTATTATACAATGGGAATCCAGCTAACCAAATCATTACCTTGTAAATAGCTTAATACTTGCCATATTCTACAGGCAAAAGATGATGAGAAAGACACCAAGCAAATCTCAAATGCTGGGAAGGTGGCTCAGTGGTCGAGTGCTTGTCTTGCATGCCTGAGGCCCTGGGTTCGATTCCTCAGCACCAACCACATAAACAGAAAAAGCCAGAAGTGGTGCTGTGGCTCAAGTGGTAGAGCGCTCGCCTTGAGCTGAAGAGCTGAGGGACAGCGCCCAGACCCAGAGTTCAGGTCCATGACTGGCAAAAAAAAAAAAAAAAAATATATATATATATATATATATATATGGCAAAGCAATATTCTTAAACTGACACTAATACTATTTCCATAAGAATCATCTGGAGTGCCTGTCAAAAAATATCCTTTCCAAAAAAAATACCCTTTCCACTGACTGTGGTGACAATGTAATTGTCACTCTAGCTATGTGGGAGGGTGTAGCAGGAGGATCACTGACAGAGGCCAACATCAGACAAAAATGTGAGACCCTACTTGGAAATAAAAAACCCCAAAAAGCAAAAACGTCTGGGGGTACAGCTTAGAAAGCATGTAGCTCAGAGCTCAGAATCACAGTGTCACTGGAAAAAATCTTTTACTCTTGACATACTAAAGAAAAAGCTCTTAGAATGAGCATTCTTAACAAGGATGTTAAGTAAGTAGTTTTGGTACCTTCAAGTTTGAGAATTACTGAGTTGGAGATTTGCTTGACTATTGAAAAAGAAGATTGGAGAGGATCACTGCCATACCTCAAGTGGTAAAACATTTTCCTGGTATGTACTAGGCCCTAGGCTCAATCCCCTGTACTGAAAAAAAACAAACAGATTAAGAGAAAAATTCCTGGAGTAATAATGTTTTCTTGGTGAGCTTCAAATGTATGAAGTTGAAGACGACACATTCTGATCTGACTTAGGTTTCGACTTTGTAACTTATGTGACGCAGCCATAGCTCTTGAAGAGCATTCCCTTCCACTTTCAGGAGACTTAATGACTGGCTGGAGATGTGGTTCACTGTGACTAGCTCTGGAGAAGAGGATGAACTAGGCCGGTAGAAGGGCGGGGCGCTTCTCACAGGGTCATCAGCAAAAGCCCTGCAGACCGTACTTGTGAGAATGTGTGAGCTAATCTGAGGTTGAGTTTGCCTGTGATCTCAATCAGTTATGTGGGCATATGAGAACACGCTGATTGCTGTTCAATTTGATAGAAGTATTTTTTAAAAAGTCTGGTAAACCGGCCACTAAAGAAACTGAGACATTTTCTTTTCTTTTTGGGTCGGGTCGTGGGGCCTGATCTCTGGGCCTGGGTGCTGTCCCTCAGCTCTTCAGCTCAAGGCTAGCGCTCTACCACTTGAGCCTCAGCACCACTTCTGGCTTTTTTCTTTTTTGCTTATGTGGTGCTAAGGAATGGAACCCAGGGCCTCAGGCATGTGAGGCAAGCGCTCTACCACTGAGCCACCTTTCCAGCCCCAAACTTGGACATTTTCATTTCCAACAAGCACTCAGTTTTCGAATAGACAACAGGAACTGACGACCACTGAAGACCACTGACTTAAATCAAGAAAAGGGGCCTAGAGCACAGTCATCTTAGAAATAGGTGATCAATGGCAGAGGAGCGACGGCCATCTCTGCACCAGGCCACTCGGCGTCTAGTTGACTCTCTGACCACCATGCCAGGAAGGGAAAATCCTGCGCAACCCTGTATGCCCTGGCTCCAGGAAACACAGGCCTTTTCTGAATTAGGAACAGAACTGTCAGTGATTAGATGAAATGACAGATCGTATTTCCTCTGCACGTAGAGCCTGACGCACTCTGGATGGCCAGCCTGCCAGGGGTGGCGTCTGCTCCCCCTAATCTCCACACTTGACATATAAACACGGCCACTGGAGTTGTACAAACTCACTACGTCAGAGCAGAACACAGTCTTCAACATAAGATGTTCTGGAGCCACGTGAACTCCCCAGGCTTCATTATAACGACGCCAGGCCTGCGGTGGTGTTACTCCACGTTCACACAAAGACTCCCGCGGCACATGACTGCTCACCAGTAAGTCACTGTGGGACACCGACAGCAGCATCTTGACAAAGGCCTGAAGTACGTTGTCAAAATGGTTGTCCCCATACAGCTTGAAGACGCCAAAGCTGACATAATTTCCACACAAGGCAGATTTGAGAGCTGCGTAGCAGATGGAGATGCCCTTGAGCTTCATTGGATAAATCTGATCTTTTGAGAGGCTCCCCAGGGACAGGATCCGGTTACCTGTTTTAGGGTAAAAGCAGAAAGACAAAGTGACAGAAGTCAATGTAATTTAAAGCAGTTATGAGGCATATTAGTTGATATTTTCACTTTACTGATAATGTTGCCTTTTCCAACATTGTTCCAAAAACTGAACCAATCCATTGCAATGAGAAACATAAATCTACAAGGTTGTTTGCTTGGGAAACACAAAGGGTCCAAGGAAAATTAGTCCAGAGCACTGGGAAAACTTTCTACCTACAAAAAATCTGGATGATTATATTAATAAATAGACATAAAAATTAAGTTATAATTTAAAATTGGTTTATGAATTTTAATGTAGATTTTTATCCCTTCAAAAAAGAGTTCCAAAGATGGGTGAAATAACCAACTAAGCCAGAGAAAATGGTTACCTGATTAAGACATAAATTATTATAAATTCTGGGTAAAATTTCAACCTTTGTATATGATCTTGAGCTTGAGTTACTCATTTTCTGTGCTGGTCCTGGGGCTTAATCTCAGAAGGGTCTCTGGGCTTCTTTGGCTCAAGGTTAGCATTCTACCACTTGAGCTACAGCTCCACTTCCAGCTTTTTTTGGGTTTAACTAGAGATAAGAGTCTCACGCACTTTCCTGGTCAGGCTGACTTCACACCAGTCTGGTACTCAGATCTCAGCCTCTTGAGTAGCTAGGATGACAGGTATGAGCCACCAGCACCCAGCTGAATTACTTCTCGTTTAGAAGCCTCACAGAGAAGTTCTTGGCATAGTGCAAAGTAAGTATTACTTTTTCTCCCTTAATCTTTCTTCAGGAAACCTCAAGAGAGGATTAGTTTAAAAACAGTATCTAAATTCTATGTTCATAATCAAAAGACAAATGTTTGTACATTCACCTAAACTCTTTCTGGATTAGTCAGCATTTACAAGAAACAAAAACGGTGCTAGAAGGCATGTTATTAGGCAGAGAATGCTTACAAATAGTCCTGTTTCTCAGCTCTGCTTTTCCTCTGCAAGTGAGCACTCTTCTGGAATTGAATCTAAATTCATTTTGTGAAACCGACAGGTGAAATGTGTGTCAACTGGCTAAGACTCGTTTCCTTATATGACTGTGGGCAGAACTGGCCAAAGGGGAAATCTGTGAGATTTGGAAGGCAGGAGTAAATAGCTACCATGGCTTCCTTGAGAGCTGTGAAGAGAGGTGGTGAGAAAGAAGATACAGACCTACTGCTAGGTTCAGGCCGGTTCTTGTTCTTCTCTGTGAGGTGTCTCCCAGCCGGTGTGACCAAGAACCCATGGCTGCCATCAAGTGGCTGGCAGAGGCCCGGCCTTCCACTGACTTCTGTGCTATGACCCCAGCCCCCTTATGCTGACGAGCTCACTCCTTGGACACATTCACCTAGATTCTACGTTTCCCTTCAGTCCCCCAAAGTACCCACCTACAGCAGAATTCAGAAGGGCTGAACAGATTCCCCCCCCCCCATGTCTACCTCTCCCTTCTAGATCTATATCCTCATCTTTACAAGGTCTAATTCCTGAAAGAAGCTTTCTATCACAGAAATGTCATAATGCTGCCGCGTGTAAGTCCTGTCTGGGAGTGTGTCATGGCAGTCACAGGACCCGTGTTGAACGGGGCTGGCCAGCGTGTAAGTCCTGTCTGGGAGTGTGTCATGGCAGTCACAGGACCCGTGTTGGACAGGGCTGGCCAGCGCAGGGCGGGCTCCTCTCCCTGCCCCTGCCTACGCTTTCCTTTGTCCAGCTCTAAAAGCTCACGTGCTTTGTGATTTCTACATCTGAACAAAAGTGTTCTCTTGGAAGGGTGACGTGTGCCTTGGAATTTACTCAGCACCAAAGGCCGTACCCTTTGCATGGCCTCACCCTAAATTACCTTGGAGATACAGCAGTTCCAAGAAGGTTCGCTCTAATATGACAGCATAGTTAACAGTTACTTCACATGAGGTGCAGGGGAAAACGAAGGAAAGTTATTTGTTTTGAGAGTTCATTTTTGTTGAAGAAACAGATTTGTGAATAAATAACGCCATGCCATGTGACAAGTGTTGTCAGAGGGGTATGAGGATGTTAGAGGAGTAGAAGAAAGGAGTGCAGCGTATTCTGGCGAATGGACTGTTACGGCGCAGAGGTTTAAGGAAGCAGGGCACTGCAGAAAATGATAGTTCCCCGGCACTGCGGTTCTGCATCTGCTTGCAAATAGTTTAAACTGAAGTAGCTTTTTTCCCTCCTCCCTCTCCTCAAAAGAAAAGCACTATATGCATGCTGGGGAAGGGCTGGGGGAGGTGGGACGCATTTGCCCTTAGTTTGGAGAGGGGCTGTTCTGGGGAGGGGACCAAGGGCCGTGATGGACTGGGCAACCTATTGTCAAGAAGGCTATTTACGATCACAACTTTTTTCTTGGGGTGGTTCACTGGAGATGAGAGTTTCACGAGGACTTTCCTGCCCTCAGACCTCAGCCTCCTGAGTAGCTAGGGTTACAGGCGTGAGCCACTAGTGCCCGGCTAAGATCCCAACTTTTACTGCCATGTTAAATACTGCACATATTTTCTATTTCCCAGACTGTGCCAGACATTGTTAATTAAGACAATCAAACAATTAACTATTAATTAAAACAATAAGTTGTATACTGTTATGACCTTATGACAGAATGCTTCATATGTTTGAAATAGGAAACTCTACCATATTGTACTCTAGGTGTCTCCATGGAGGCTTTTAAGGACCAAAACCAAAACGCTTGGCCAAGCCTCACTTTTCATTCTAATTCATCTTTATTAAGTATGTCTTATTCAATAGTACTTTCTGAAACTGGAGACCTTGCCTTCCTACAGCTAACAATCTAGCAGTTAAGACTCGAAGTGGCAGAGTTTCCATGTTCTTGTCTTCACAGCTACTTGGGAGACAGCGAGTAGGAGGTTGCAGCTTGAGGCCAGCCAGGCCTAAGAGTTTGGAGAGCTCATCACAATAACGGCTGGGTGTGGTGGCACATGCCTGTCACTCCAGTAAAGGGAAACCTTCTTAAAGAGCACAGAAATTACTGATGTGTACCCTAAGAGGCATTGTGAGAGTGGGGTCTCGTGATCACACATTTTATGATAAAATTTCTGTAAGAAGACAGATGGGACCACACTGGTATTGAAGTAAGAAACATTTCCTCAACAGGTGATAACTTTTACAAACACATTATCCAGACGTAAAAACCTGAAATTATGTAATTTGCAGGAAAATAATTGCATTAGTAGCCATCATTTTAAGCAAAACAAGCCAGTTTTTCAAGGATAAAAACTGTATGTTTTCCCTCATATGCAGAATGCAGGTTAGGAATAAAGACATGAACGTTGAAGTATATTTTAGGTGCCTGCAGGGAGAGTGATAAGAGGTAAATATGATCATATACAAAAATGGCAAAACGAAACTCATCATGACAATGAATAAAACAGTAAAAACCACATTACCAAACTAAAGTACTTTGGCAGCGGCATAAACACACACACACACAGAGATTGGTGGTGCAGAAATAAATCCCAGCACATATTACAGTCAGCTAACTTCTGAGCAGGACACCACTAAGACACAGTGAGGAATGGAAATCTCTTCAATAAATGGTGCTGGGAAAGCTAGCTTTCCACATTTGAAATAAATAGTGAATAAGTAAACTGGACTCTCATACCATATGTACAAAAAAGGCAATTGATATGTAAAAGCAAAAACAAAACCCTGAATACCAGACAAGAAGTTCTAACTGCTAGAATACTACCCCAGAGGAAACACCGACTCTGGAAGTGTTTTCTTAGATTCCACACTAAGAGCTTAGGCTACCAACACAGAAATAAATGGGAATACATTAAAATAAAAAGCTTCTGCACAGCAAGAGAAATAAAGAAAATTACAAACATATAGACTGCGAAAAATATCTGCAAACTAAAAATCTGATAAGGAGCTAATATCCAAAACTTATAAAGAACTCATAACTCAATAGTGGGGGGAAAAAAAAACCTGATTAGAAAAGTAAGCAAAAGCCGTTACTACATTCCTTTAAAGAATATATCAAATAGGGGCTGGGAAGTTGGCTCAGTGGTAGAGAGCTTGCCTTGCATGCATGAGGCCCTGGGTTCGATTCCTCAGCACCACATAAGCAAAAAAGAAAAAACCCAGAAGTGGTGCTGTGACTCAAGTGGTAGAGCGCTAGCCTTGAGCTGAAGAGCTGAGGGACAGCGCCCAGGCCCAGAGTTCAGGCCCCACAACTGGACCCCCCCCCACAAAAAAAAAGAATATATCAAATAGCCAACAGGGATAAGAAAAGTGCTCAATATCATTACTCATCGAGAAATTCAATTCAAATTCATTATTGTTTATCCACACCCTTTGGGATGGCTGTTACCAAAAAGTGGAGACAACGGGTTCCTGTGGCTCAGGCTGGTAATTCTAGTCACTCAGGAGGCTGAGACCTGGAGACTCTCAGCCTGAAGCCTGCCCGGGCAAAAAAGAGTGCCAGCTGTGAGCAAGTAAACCAAAGGAGAGCAGGAAGAATGAAATTCCAGCCCTAGAACCTACAACAGCAGCAACAAGATAAAACACGCTGGCAGTGGTGGACAGCAAAGAGAACTCCTGTACACACTGCCGACGGCAAAGCCATCGTGAAAACTAGCTGGAGGTTTCAAACAAAATTAACAACAGTTCTACTATGATCCAGTAAACTTGTTCTGCATATACCCAAAGGAAATGCCATTTCTAACCGTTTGTGTTTGTAGAAGCTACTCTCTGTGTTCAGTGTGTCCCCTCCCCCTTCTATTTGTGGTGCTGGATTTTAGACCTTGGTTTGCAGGCCTAAGATGCTTGGGGAAGAACCAGTATTTTTTTCCTGTGTCTTTTTATCTTACTAGTTTTTGTAACTCTTAATGATCAGTAAATGTGAGCTTCGCGGAAGCTGGACTCCATGGGCACGTCGGGCCTGGGTGCAGCTCTGGGCCGGATGCTGCTGGACTCAGCTGGAATGGTTCTCTGTGGAGTCACCTCGGTGGTTCTGGGGTGTTGGGTGCTGATCGTGCTACTGCCTCCACAAGACTTCCCTGGTTTCCCTCTTTGCACTGTGTTAGGTCTCCAGCCACTTTTCTGGTAAGATTGAACAACACACATCCTTGGCTCTCAGGTGGTCTGTTTTCAGAAAGTCTCATTTATTGTAGAGACTTGCTTAAGTCTTTTTTTTTTGCCGGTCCTGGGGCTTGAACTCAGGGCCGGGGCTGTCCCTGAGCTCCTTTTGCTCTACCACTTGAGCCACAGCACCACTTCTGACTTTTTCTGTGTATGTGGTGCTGAGGAATCAAACCCAGGGCTCCATGCATACGAGGCCAGCGCTCTACCACGGAGCCACCTTCCCAGCCCCTGGCTTAAGTCTTTAGTTACTTCAAGCCCAGCGCTGTCCCCCCTGCCTTTTTCTAATCATCTTACTGTAAATGTAAGTTCAGGAGACCCCACTTTCACAGTGCCGCTAACGGAACCTGTCCAGTAACTTTCATGCTCAGCCACTGATAACTTTTGCAAACACATCTAGTGCACCAGGTTCTAGCTGTCATGGTGTCAGCGGGATCCCCTCCTTCTCTCTCTTCTTTAGAGCCTCTGTGCTCTTTCACAGACCTCTAAATCTCTGCAAAATCTGTTGTCTGTTATCTGACTCACCAAGAGTAGCAATGGCTTGTACAGAACTTTACAAGCTCAATTTCCTCACGTTGCATTGTGCCTTAAATGCACAACGGAGCACACACTGCTTAAAAGATGTACACTCTTTAAGTTTTAAAATTGTTATTATAAAGGTGATGAACAGAGGGGTTACAGTTACATAAATGAGGTAAAGAGTACATTTCTTTTCAGGTAATGTTACTCACGCTCAGTTTTCCTCTCGCATCTCCACCCACAAGTTGTGTAGTTCATTTTCAACATAGTGTCTAGTGAGTACCATTGCTCCGTTTGTTCACCCTTTGTCCCTCCTTACCTTCCCAAAGACAGATAAATGTGCAAACAGCACAAAAAGAAAGCCAAAGCAACAAAGAAGAAAAAAAAACCCTCTTGTTTCCATTTTCTGGAGTTTATTTAGACAAATATTATTTTATATGGTCAGAGTTGTGTCCCTCTCTTAAGAATGTCCTGCTTTGGTCTCACTGTGTGTGAATGCCTAGAGACCTGTATAATTTATCATGTCCTGGGGCATTATAGCTCTAGCTTTCACAGATGAGGGAAAACACGCGCCGCTTGTATCACCAAGGCTGGCTTACCTCACTTAACATGATTTGTTCTAGGTCTATCCATTTCCCTGCAAGTGGCATACTATGATTCTTTCTAATGGCTATGGAAAATTCCATTGTGTGTAGGTACCATAGTTTTTGGACCCCCTCATCTAGGGGGCAGGCGGGCTGGCTTCCACGGCTTGGCGACTATGAACGTGGATGTGCCAGTGTCTTTACACCTGGCGAGGACGTACATTCTTAAGTCCAGCAAACATTCACAGTTTAAAGTGTAGACTTTCGCACACTGAGCCCTTTAAAACAGGTAACTGGGGGAGGAATAAAAGCAGTTAGTTCCACTTTGACCAGCCTGAGGAAAACGATCACCATTTTCCCTTCTGTGTACTCCTCAACCAACAGATGTCACTAACGACACCAGTACCCAGAGGCAAAGGGAAGAAAAGATTAGACAAATGGAAAGTGAGCCTAAGAAACGTTCAGTTCTTAAAACTGAGAAGTAGGTTTCCAAAGTAATAACATTTATTACACCGCATGCAACATTTTAACCAAAAATTTAAGAAAGAAATTTCTTTTATTAAGTTGCTCAGGCTGAACGGATCATAGCACTAAGTTTTGAAATACATGTTCCTGAAGCAATTTAAAACTCATTAGAAATAATAGGCTTGGGCTAGTAGAAAATGTGGTAAAATTTAATCCTCATCCAAATGTTACCTGGGCTGTACAAACAGGAAATTGTTTTGTGCTACTGTGGCTAACCTCATTGCTGACCCTGAGCTGTAACGGCAAGAGCAGCTGAGAGCTGAAGCAAAATTAAAAACTTACATCAAAGTACATCATGACAGAATGTAGATAAATAAAACAGCATATCAAAAGTATTTTTTCTGCCAGTCTCATGGAGCAGCAAGGTAGAGGTATTCCACAAAATGTACAATAAATCAGGAGTATTAGACAATGATTCTGCCTGCTCTGCATCTCCAAGTCACTTCCGGGGGAGGGGGGAGCCGAGAGGAAACCCCGTGGGCACGGGGCAGAAGCATCACAGATGTTCTGGCTCCTTTCCTCCATAGGTTTCCCCTTTCTTCACCTTGGCTCACCAAAGAAATAAATACTGTTGGCTCTGCTGTATTTTTCAGTTCCTTCCCTCATCTTCCGGCATCTCTTGCCCTCCAGTGAGTCTGTAAGACTCTTCAGAGGTAAAACATAGGGACTACACATTATAGAAGGCAAAGGTAGACAAATTAGCCTGATTAATGGAAGTCAGGATAGGCATCAGTGGAGGAAAGACAGAAAGTTTTCTATTACTCATAAAGTGCATGTGTCAAAGTCACCAGTGGCACAGTTGAACTTCTGATTTCCCTTAAGTTTCAGGCAAAAGTCACCAAGCTTTACAGAATACCGCTTCTTCCTAAACATCCAAGGTGCATCTTCCAGTGGCAATTCCCAAGAGGCAGAAAGGAGTATGGATGGACTGACATCAAATGAAATTCCAGTTGGAGGAACTGCCAGCTATGCAGCGTGTGGGATGCTTGGGAAGCCCCACGAGCTCTCTACGGGTCACCCTGTGGAATCCTCACGACCAGGTCGGAGACAAGCATTATTTGCCATGCTTATCAAGCTACCTGTGTAGAAGCAGGAATAAAACCTACCTTGGGTCTCCTTGCAATGTATGAGAAATGATTTAACATTAAAGGAGGGATATAATAGCTAATTAAAAATGGAAGCTATAAAATGTGTTTAAAATGAAAAGCTTACTTCTGATGTCAATAAGATAGCTACCTGGCTATCCCATTACATATCTCCCATATTCAAACAGACAAAAGGCCCAAAAGAACAAAATAACATCTTTCTTCAAAGTTATATTGAAAATACAAGTATGGAAAAGGACACTCACCATAAGTGCAAATCATTTTACTTGCTTCTCTGAAGAGAAGAATTCCATTGGGAGATGATACATCAAAATTCAAACGCTGGGATCTAAGAAATATAGTAAAAAGTTAGACTATACACACAAAGAAATTAAATATAGGTTTAAAATGTCTAGCACTTTCATTTATCAGTGGAATTAATTAATTATTTAATTTGCTGGTTTTGGTCTGGGGCTTGAACTCTGGGCCTGGGCACTGAGCTGCTTTTGCTCAAGGCCAGCACTCTACTACTTAAGCTAAACTGGGATCCCCAGATCTCAGCCTCCAGCGTAACTAGGATTACAAGCATGAGTCACTGGCATCCAGCTTGAATTAGCCTTTGAAGTACCACTCCAGTCAACAACTGTTGAAAAAATAGGTACTCTATTTTTCTTATAAAGATAGTAGGACAGGGCTAGGAAAGTGTCTCAGTGGTAGAGCGCTAGCCTTGAGCTGAAGAGCTGAGGGACAGCGCCCAGGCCCAGAGTTCAAGCCCCACGACTGGACCCAAAAAAAAAAAAAAAGATAGTAGGACAATTAAGAAGTCATTATTGGTTGATTCAAAGAGATCACTTTTTAACCTATCAAAACGATACCCGAACATTCTATATAACAAATCTTTTAGTCTTCCTTTCACACAAAGTGGCCGGTGGATAATAAGGAAAAAGTACATGTGGGCACACATAAGTTTCTATAGATATTCACATGGAGATCTATTTGTATTTTAATACCTCCCATAGTGTCATACACATTTTAAGCTAAACTCCAAACAGACAGAAAATGTAGGCACCCTTAATACTGCACAAGTACATATTGAATTGTCTCATATTTTAGGCATATTTCAAATACACTAATTTACAGTACAAATTCTGTTCCATATAGAATAAAGTATTGACAAGGCTGGGCGCCAGTGGCTCACACCTGTAATCCTAGCTACTCAGGAGGCTGAGATCTGAGGATCATAGTTCAAAGCCAGTCCAGGCAGGAAAGCCTGTGAGACTTTTATCTCCAATTAACCACCGGAAGTGGAGCTGTGGCTCAAGTATTAGAGAGCTAGCCTTGAGCTGAAGAGCTCAGGGACAGCGCCCAGTCCCAGAGTTCAAGACCCACGACTGACAAAAAAAGAAAAAAGAAAAAAAGGATTGACAAGCCATCCTACCCTGCTAGCCCCTGTACTGTCCTTTCAAGATATAATGGCACTTTGAAAAAAAATTAGCAAAAACCCCAATAACATATCAACTATCTCTCTCTATATATAGATATAGATATATCTATGTATCTATAGATATTTCAACAAGCAGACATTGCTGAAGCTGTTTTGCCAGGACAGCGTGAACTGTTCTTTTCAAAACACTTTAGTATTAACAGTAATGACAATATCTCAAAGGTATTATTATGAACACTTGATAACTGTATTGATTACACCTATGACATATTTTATACAGTTGTGCCAACAGGAATGTAACTGTTTAAAGAGAGGAAATGGATGGAGAAGTCACATCACACTTGAGGAATGATGTTTTTTAAGATAACAGTTTTCTGGGACATTTGTTCCAGATATGAATTTTCTGCCTACAGAGTAGAGAGAATGCTTCACAGTATACAAGACAATAGTTCTTCCCTTTAGACTTAGAAGTTGTTTCAATTGTCTAATTAAATATGGACATTCAGTGAAAACACTAACATCTCTAACATGAAGTGCAAAGTCAATCCTACTCAAGTATTTAAGCCACCTTTAAGAGTTTTTATTTTTTATTTTATGTTATTTTTTTGTTGGTCATGGGGCTTGAACTCTGGGCCTCGCGCTGTCCTTCAGCTCTTCAGCTCAAGGCGAGCGCTCTACCACTTGAGCCACACCACCACTTCCAAGAGTTTTTAAAAAAACCAAGAGCTTGGGGCTGGGAAGGTGGCTCAGTGGTACAGCGCTTGCCTTGCATGCATGAGGCCCTGGGTTCGATCCTCAGCACCACATAAGCAAAAAAGAAAAAACCCAGAAGTGGTGCTGTGACTCAAGTGGTAGAGCACTAGCCTTGAGCTGAAGAGCTGAGGGACAGCGCCCAGGCCCAGAGTTCAGGCCCCACAACTGGACCCCCCAAAAACAAAAACAAAAAAACCCAAGAGCTGACATTTCACTGTCAGGTCTTTTCTCACCTCTTGTTTAAGAGTAAAAATATAAATGACGGAGGTGACTAGCAAGTGAGAACTGCAACTCATACAACCTGCTGGTCTTTCCCTTCTGACATACAGCTTACAGAGGCATTAACAGATAAGCTAGCTCCGTGACAGGCAAGCCTATTTTAAAGAGGTAAACACAACTAGCGTGATGCAGCTTCTCTCTTTTAGCTGCACCTTTGTTAATATTAATATGCAGAGTATTTGAGTCTCTGCTGGTTGATACAAATGATAAGGGCAAGTAGGCAATTTCTGAGAAGTCTTATGGCTGTTTCGATGAACCCTGAATGCATCTTGGCATGGAGGAGGAAGCACACCACCGGGTCAGAGCTCGGAGAACACCAATGTGTCCTGGGTTTGCTCTGGAACTCAATCTGCTTTTCAGAAGATCACGCAGCAAAACCTGGACATCACTAAACATTTGTCCTTTTTAGTTATACAGCAATGTGGCTAGGCAAATGTGCCCTTCTGTTCTGTGGCTGAGTGTTTCTGCTTCTTGGTGTTACCGAGTTAACCTCATGAGCTTCATAACCGCTAGGAAGGCCTACCGCAACAAATCAGGACTCTAGTCCTATTTTTCTGCCGGATTGATTTCTGGTGCTGGTGTCAGAGCTTAGACTCTGCTCTGTGCTCCTGCTTGGCTTTCTGGCTCATGGATGCCTTCTACCACCAGAATCGTGCCTAAGTCAGCATTGAGCTGGCTAATTGGACTTGAGTATCACACTTTCTTTTTTCCTTAGGCACTACACTGGGCTGGCTTCAAACATCCATCCTTTAGAACTCAGCTGCCTGAGTAATTACGGTTACAAGTGTGAGCCACTTCTGCCTGATACTTTGGTTATTTATTTATTTATTTTTGTCAGTTGTGGGGCTTGAACTGAGGGCCTGGGAGCTGTCCCTGAGCCTCTGTGCTCAAGGCTAGCGCTCTACCAATTGAACCACAATATCACTTCTGGTTTTTGAGTGGTTAATTGGAGATAAGAGTCTTACGAAGAGTAATCCTAACTACTCAGGACCCTGAGACCTGAAGATTGTGGTTCAAAGCCAGCTGGAACAGGAAAGTCTGTGAGATTCTTATCACCAATTAAACACAAAAAGCTGGAAGTGGAGCTATGCTCAAGTGGTAGAGCTCTAGCCTTGAGCACAGAAGCTCAAGGACAGCACCCTGGTGCAGAGTTCAAGCCCCAGGACTGGCAAAAGTAACAACAATAAAACCCCCACCAGGCAGCAGTATGACTGCTGGAGATTTGTTCCTGACAACCCCCTCCACCCTGCAACCATACTGCTTACCTGTTCTGCATCAGTTCTGCCATAAGTTTCAAGATGGGTGTTGTACATGCTGGTTCTCCATACCACTGTTCAACAGCTCTCTGGAGAACTGGAAGATATGTGGGGTATCTTTAATAAACCCTGTTAAAGAACTTAACAGTTGGGCTGGAAAGGTGGCTCAGTGGCAGAGTGCTTGCCTCGCATGCATGAGGCCCTGGGTTCCATTCCTCAGCACCACATGAGTAGAAAAGGCTGGAAGTGGTGCTGTGGCTCAAGTGGTAGAGTGCTAATCTTGAGCTGAAGAGCTGAGGGACAGCACCCAGGCCCAGGCCCAGGCCCAGGCTTCAAGCCCCACCACCGACAAAAAAAAAAAAAAAAAGAAAAGAATTTAACAGTCAAATGGATGTAGTTTCGTGGCAGAGTGCCCGCCTTGTGTGTGCGAGGGCCTGGGGCCAATCCCGGGTACTTAAAAACAAAATAAGTATTTAAATGTCAAGAGAATGCTGCTCCTAAGAAATTAACACTACCTAAAAAGAAAAGAAGGAAATTTACATTTGTTCTGTTTAGTACAAAATGGTAATTTTATAAATTATTCTTTCTTTCTAACCTACACAGACTTTTTTGGGGGTTAGGTGGGAGGGGAGATTACAATTTGCTACTAACTGTAAAATATTCCTAAGTAATGGTTTTCTTGGCATGTACAAATGAAAGGTTCACTTTTAAAGCACCCTGTAAGTAACACATTTAAAGAATTATACTTAATGTTACAGGAGAGGTAAATAATTCAGTTAATATTCAGTTAATAATAAAACAAAATTAATGAGTCATTATCAGGTTAACCTTAGGCACTATACTGAGAAAATATTTTTTATTATTAAATTTATATATATATATATATCAGAAAAAATAGTAACAGTTTCTGAGAGTATCTATCTACCAGTTTCCTCCTTTCTTTCTTTCTTTCTTTCCTTCTTCCTTCCTTTCTTTCTTTCTTTCTTTGTTGTAGATGTCTCTGCTATAGCTCTAAGAAACATCCAAGGTGGTGTTTTGGATAACTGCATCTGCTCAAGATCACTGTTGCTAAAAGACTGCCTCATGTAAGTGCAGGAAGGAATTTCCAAACACCCTATTAACATGCAGGTGGCCTCTGGCCAGGCTAGGTGATGGACACCTCCCCGTGGCTCCACTGGCCCACGGCCGGCTGGCCCCTCAGCAAAAGGACGCATAAACGTAGGCTCAACATCTAAAACTGAGGAGGAAAACTCTCCACTATGCTAGTGTTTTCATTTTTCTTTGCCAATTCCCAAGTGTCTCTTTCTGATGTTTTCCAATGTATTCTTTGCTGCAAATTGAAGCGCTGAACTACACCACTGAATGTTGAATCTGGCATTATGGGATGGATAGAGAACTCCATGCTGAGACATTTCACCATTGTTTTTCTTCCTCTTGGAATGACCTTGGAGTTCCTGATCCTGGTACCCTGCCCTTCACGACCCTGGCTGACCTCAGCGGTATCACTTAGCACTTCTACTCTGCCTGTCCCTTGGCCTTGCATTACCCCTGCAAACCATCTGATGCCTCTCTGCCCAGCACAGCTCTGGTCTTTCAATACCCAGCGCAAGTTTCACCTCCTTTGGGATGTTTTCTCTATCTTTGTCAAAAGGCATCAATCTCTTTCTCATCTGTGTTCAGTGAACACTCTTGACAAAGTGAATCAGGACTGGTCATTGAATTGTCAGCCTGTCCCCCTGGACTGCGCGTTTCTAAAAGGCAGACAGCCATCCCTCTGCTAATTTCTATTTGTCCCCCAGATTTCGGTGTAGCTGTCAATTATGGGAATCCCTGCTCTGCCCCGCCCTGGCCTCATCCCCACCGAGAAGCAGGGCCTGCAGGTGGGTGTGCAAACCTGTGCTGCCACTGGCCGCCTCCCCTCCCCCACTCTCTCTCTCTCCATGACAAGCTTTATAAGGCCAGAGACAGGTATTTCTTGTGTATGCAAGCTTGGTTCAAAGTAGACTTCAATAAATATTTGTTGTTCGAAACTTAACAACCTATAAATGACATAAAGCCTGTTAGGCTACAACAACCTATGCATTTCACTTTGAAGCTTTAGGAAAGCAATGGAAGTCCTTCAAAGAGTCACCTAAAAATGTCACCTAAAAGTGCACACAGTACACACAGTAACAGTTTCCTCCATGAGACAAACTACGGTAAAGCTGTGCTTACTTACATTGAAATGATTCCCTTAACAATTTATTTATTAAATCCTACTCTGCAACAAGCATTATTTTATAGTTTGCAGAAACTAAGTGAACAAAAGAGGAAAGTTCTGGCCCTCATGGGAGCCAGATTCTAACAGACACATATATGTGTGTGTGTGTGTGTGTGTGTGTGTGTGTGTGTGTGTGTGTGTGTGTGTTAGAAAGCGCTGTAAAGGAAAATAAAGCAGGGGCTGGAGGCAGGGAGTGTGTATGTGGTGAGAGGCAGCCGGATGAAAGTGGTAAAAATAAAATCAGAGGACTTGGTTATTAACTTAATTTTAGCTACTGCCAAGTAACTTTCTTTTTTGTTTGTGTATGTGTGTGTGCGTGCACCAGTCCTGGGGCTTGAACTCAGGGCCTGGGTGCTATCCTTGAACTCTTTTGCTCAAGGCTGGCTACTTCTTTACCACTTGAGCAACAGCTCCACTTCTGGCTTTTTGGTGGTTAATTGGAGATCAGAGTCTCTATGGACTTTCCTGTCCAGGCAGGCTTTGAACCACAATCCTCAGATCTCAGCCTCCCAAGTAGCTAGGATAACAGGTGTGAACCACTGGCATCTTCCAACTATTCTGCATTTCTGACACACTACAAAAGCTATTGTTTTTGACAGATGGAAGACATGATTTACGATTTACGAAGCTGAGGAGCAGGGGTCGAGTTAAGGCAGACACAGCTCTTATTCTTGGGGAATGCATACGTTCTCAGGGTGGCAGTCATATCAAACACACTGAGTTCTAAAAAACTCTCCTGGACACAAACCCTGGGGTCATTATTAAGAGAGCCCGAGAAGGCTCATCAAGAAGCAGAAAGCTCCCAATTTCAGAACCGAAGACCAGCAGAGACCACACAGGTAAGGGCCTCTGCGAAGTACTCAGCAGGCGCCAGGTCCGTCCTATTTTTCAGAGCCCACAGCACTCCTGACGGGGCAGGGCCAGGGGCCGCGAGGGGCCGCTCCCCTCACAATGAGAGTGGTGACAGTTCTAATATGCTTCTGACAGAGGTGACTGCCACAGAGAAAACGAGCCGTTATTGGAAAGCAGAGCAGAGGTCTACTAAGCAGGAGGTTAAGAGGGCTTGGAGTGGGAGCGCCAGACTCAGATTACAGGGCGAGAAATCAAAACCCACCCAGGAGCTTCATTTTCCAGGGCCTTAGAGTCTATGTGTATACAGACAGGAGGCAGAGAACGAGTCCACAGGTAGGCGAGGTACAGATATGATTGCTTTCACTTGGTTCTTCCCAATGAGTTCTAAAGATCCATACCAGATTAATGAAAAATCAGAAAGTATTAATGGGATGGCCTTTACTCTTGTATTCCTTATGCCTGAACAAGAGACACTCAAAAAACACTTTACAGTGACTTACAGGTTGACTTTTCAATCTCATATCTATTTGTCCATCATGATACTGCCAATTACACGCTTCTTGAAGTATGTTGGATTTTGATAGCTAATTCACACCTAATCCAAAGAAAGGCTTTCTACTGGCTGTTGAGGACCCGGCTAGATCCTGTAACTTGATATTCCAGGGTCCTGAACAACCGAGGTTTCCAACCATGAAGTAAGTGGTATTTTGGATGAGCCATCCATTCTACTATTAACTTCCTGCAGTACTGAGTAACCAGTGGAAAAGTTGTGTATTCCAGGCTTATTTATTTGGCAAGATTCTGGGCAGATGTAACCTCTCCCTTATCTGTAGGCATTTAGTTGGTAAGGTTCTACTCAACTAGAAGCTCCTCTGGGTCTGGGGTCTGGGTCTCAGTTACCTAAATCCCTCGTGAAACCTGGCTGTCCACCATGCTGAGCTGGTGAGCAAGTAGGTCCCTTTGCTTCCCTCCCTGCTAGGAAGGAAAGAAACAGCAGTGGTGGAGTATTTACCAGTGCAGACACTGTACTAGGGCCTTTACAAAAGGTCATGGGTGTCACTAGTCCTGTTTTAGGACAGATTCTGTGGCATGGAGACATGAAGGAACCTAACCAAGACCCCAGATGGTAAAGTGGCACAGCCAGGACTACCCTCTCAGACTATGCCAGAGTCTGCGCTGCTCTGCACATCGCCTTTGTAGGAGCTTCTGTGTACGCTGACAGCATTGACTGCCTGACTGAGAAACAGTGAGCTGAAAGGATCTATCATGACTGGGGAAACACCCAGCACGGGAAATGATGTCTTGTGCATCCCTTTATTTATTTATTTTTGCATTTCCCTTGGATTTTTTTTTGATATTTTAGTCTAAGTATGATGTTGGAAAACTTTAAATAATGTGATTAAATGAACTAATGGGTAAGGTGTTTTATTATTATGTTCCCACTATAGGGGTAAAGAAGTGTATCAAGGATTCTCCTTGAATTTGCTAGTCATAGAAACAATTTATCAAGAGGGTTGCTGGGTAGTTTCAGGCAATTTGGTTTTGGACATGATAAGCAATGTAGTTTGTATAGCTGTTAATGCAGTCAGTGTTTATAAAAATGTTTATGAATTAAATAGCAAAGCACTAAAATACCCGCTTATCAGATAATCACCATAAATAAAATGCATTTTGACTTTAAGATGACATGTGCTCTTATCGGAATGGCTCCTCTGCACGCTAGGGTTGTATAACAAATTAAAGAACACATATTTATGTGGATAAAAGGCAAATAAACTTCCCCAGCAGTAATGTGGGAACCATCACTGACGGTTTGACGTATCAATTTTTCAGGAAGAATAAATGACTTTCATATCCATGGCTATTTTCTTATAATATACTTAAATTCATTTTTGCATTACTTGAATACTTTGGGAAGAATCTATACTTTATCACCTGAAACTGCTTAAAGTATTTCGAAATATTTTAATAAAGCTTTTTGAATTATCAAATAATGTAACTTTTAAACAAATTTTAGTATTATTATAAATATTTGCTCTTCATCCCTTGCCCAAAGGAAAACTATAAATCTTGTCTCAACTGAATGAACACCATTTATCATATTCATTTTGTTGTCAATACAATTATGAAAAGCCTTTGGCTTTTTCCCAAGGAAGCCGATTTGCCACTGAAACTCAATTATTATAAGCAGGACCAGTACCAAACCGCTGCATTTGGCAATCTAGTCCAGCTTGCTGCATAACTGACACTTCGCCCTCCGACCCTGACCTTAATAACTTCAACACCTATGGTCAAATGGAGGAGACAATGGTTTCTAGTTCAAAACAAAACAGTAAGTCCCAAGATTTTACATCTGCTATTTTCTGCCACCTGCTGGACAAAAGTATCATTTCTGTTAGGTGTCAAAAAGGAACTAAGCTAGAGCTAAAACACAGAGAAGTGATTTTTATTCTTCAACACTGAGGAAAAAGTTTCTGGCCTGCTAACCAAGGGGCCAGGGGCTTGGCTCAAAAGGCAGGGCGCTTGCCTAGATAGCTGGAGGCCCTTAAGTTCAAGCCCCAATTTTGCTAAGAAAACAAAACAGAAAACAAAACAACATCAAAAAAACCACCCCCCAAACCCAACAACAGGGTAGCAAAAGCTGCTGAAGAGGAAGACATTGTTGGACAGGCTAACCTTGTGGCTTATTTTCAAAAGCACTATCAAAACTGGATTTTTATGATTTTTCCAAACAAATGAAAGGTTTTGGCTTTGGGAGCTATTTGTTTTAGAAGAATAAAAAGGCCATATGTAATTCCAGTTTATCTTTCCTATTAGCAGTTAGTGGTAAAACCTCACGTTAAAACTTACAATATCTCTGTACATGTACACTATATACTTACAGAAAGCATGCACTTGATTCCTCAGTGACATGGAAAAATCTCCCACCTAACCTTTGTACACATAAATCTGACAAGGTAGGTTTTAATAGCAAGTAAAGCGTAACCCGAATTTAAGTCAGCACTCCAGACCATGTCTGACATGTTTAGCAATGTGCGTGGAGTACCCCTCAGGCGTGGCCTGTTCCCTGCTCTCCGAGGCTATGAATGATTATGGCCCCAGAGTTGGGAGACTGCCTTTGTGAAATTTCTTTTCCAATTTTGATGGCAGTTTGGATAAGAAAAGCTTGAACGAACCAAGTGAGAAACACGTAATTTAAAAAGTAAGCTACAACTGAATGCAATTTTGAAGGTAAACTAGAATTTTTCTTATGGGCGCTGATGGTTTCCCCTAAATCATTTGATAAAAGGCAGGAAACCATTTTATTGTTATATGACTTATGTAAGTGGTCACTATTAAGATGTTAACAGTGTGCATGACCAGTACGGGAGTGCCACACACCATTCAGAAGGCAGCGTGCATATGTTACTGGTCAGGACAGGACCTACGTACGGTACTGTTTCTCTTTTAGACGCAGAATGCCTTTCTGGCTTTGTATAGTCGATGAAGAGCTGGGTCTCAGGCCAGGTCTGTCCTGCTCTGAGCCCCGTGCTCTTTGGATTCTTTTATGACAGGGTTGTCGGTGGACATGTTTTTTCTCTCTGTATTAGGGCTTGCTAGTAGTAAATTCAATTTTTACACTGAGACAATTGCTAACCATCCATTTCCCCCTCGTTCATGTCTATTAATATTTTCATCATAATGACAAACTGTAGTATAAGGAGTTATGCTTCAGAGATAAAGTTCCTTCTTCAGCCCTGCTGAGACTGGAGCAGAGGTTGATATAGCCTCAAAAATGCCAAATGGCAGGATTCACTGATCCTGAGGTTAAGATGTTAGCAAGATTATTCCTGCAACTCCAACATAAACAATCATTTGGGGGAAGTGATTTTTAAGTTGTCAATATTTAATGACACCAAAAAAGTGACCTCTCTGAACTGGGTCTCCAAGCACTGTGCTCAGTTATCTGCACTGCTGCTTCTGTGTTGTAATTTTTAGCTGATTACACATTAGTTCATTTAGCTTTGTTTCCTCTTCCCTACTGTGCCACACGATTAAACGAAAGCAAGGGGCCTGGCATCCCTCTGTGCACAGAGCTGGTATTGTCACAGTGTAATAAGGATACATCCAGTCAAACAGCATGGTGTAGCTGGTCTTTGTGTTTAGTGCAAAGGCAATCCCTCGAAGATCTCTTGCCAGCCCGATCAACATACGCTGTCAGTGGGAAAGAGACACAGTAATTGATTTTCACGTTAGCGCAGAGCAGATGGAGTAATAATCAGGCAATAATGACCACATATCTGATTTTGATTCATTAGCTAAAATGTCTCGCTCAGATCCTTTTCTATAGAAAACCAGACTCTTTAAACAAACAGGCCACCAATCTGCTGACCAACTCCACTTTGTTTCTTATATATTGAACTCATCACGCCAGTAGCTTGTGAGCATTTACAGTCTTAATACCTTTTGTTTCTGAATCCTGCCAAATTAGAAAAAAGAATGATAATTTTACAAAATAAATATGCACAGGGTTAAGACATTATTTAATAACAGCAAATCTTAATAGCATTGACTTGTATAAAATCAGTCCCACCACACAATTTAGTCTGCCCTGGAAATGGGCTGCACTTACACTTTCCTAATGACTGTTTAAAAAACTTAGGACAAAATAAAATGGGCTAAGTGATCTACTATGATATACCCAAAATAATAGTTGTATTCTTCAGGCAAAAAAGCTATAAAGAAGCTCTATATTCTCTCTCTCTCTTTCTCTCTCTCTCTCTCTATATATATATACACACACACACATACACATACACACACACACACACACACACACATATCTTGGTGGCAAGGCAGTTTATCAGTCTGTTTGCCCCTTGATAAAAGGGACTAATAATGGCTTGTCACACAGGACTAGCAGGAATAAACTTGTGTGTAAAAATGCCTACCAAGAGCCTGGTTCATGCATAGTAAGTGGTCCATAAATACTTTTAGAGCGAAAAAGGGAAGAAAGAAATCCCTCTTGATTTGAATGAAAGAGATCTGAGTTATAGTCTGGACTTGTAATTAAGCTGTCCTTAGGATGATGCTTGAGAAGAGAAAAAGAAAACCCATGAACAGATGCTAGAATGTCAGAACAAAGAACACAAACAAACATAACTGCAGAACAAGGGGCGGGATAATTCGTATATGCAACTGGGATTTCTGTGTATTGTTTTGGTGGAAATATTTTGCCACAAAATGGTCTCTGAACTTTTTACCAGATTTTTATGTTTCCTCACACTTGGGTGATAAATAAAAACCTCTCCAGGAAGTAGTTTAAATCACCGTGAAGAAGGCAGTGAATCCTGATCCTCACCTTAATGGCTATCCAACATTTCAAAGTAGCAAACAGGTTAACTGTTAGAGGAATCCCATTCTACCTAAAAGATGACTCAACGTAACTGAAAGTCGTTTATAAGAATATTCTGTTTCTACTGCCTAACCGTTTGCAGTGATGGTTACTCAAAGTTCCGAATCTAAAAACACTAAAATTTTGTTTCTGCTTTCTAAAATGCTTTACTCTATCATACAGCCCCCAGAGTTTGCTTTTATAACAAACAGGACTCCTTGCAATTACCTGGTGATACCTGGTACTTAATTTTTTTCTACATATTAGGTAGCCTTTTTTTTTTTTTTAATCCCTCACAACCTGGAACTCTTTTCTTTTCATTCTCAGTGTTCCACATTTCTTGTAGATTCCAGAACAAAAAGTGAGCCTTTAAAGGAGCCTTCTTTCGACAATGACAGTGGCTGTAGTCTACGCAACCCTATGGGGTCTACACTGGCTTTTGCCATCTGTGAAGTGATCTTTTGTTCTGTTCTTATTATACACATCTGATAGGTTACAGAGCACTCTTCCAAAACGTTAAGTTTTCATATAACGTAAGATAACCCACCATCCAACTCCAAATTAACAGCAAAAACATGAATTTTCCTTTGTGCCTAGCACAACAGGCTTTTTTTTGTATTTTAAAGTATCACCATTATGTAAAAGGTCAATTTTTATTTGATTACAGTTTTTCTTTCTTAAAGATATCGCGTTAATACAAGTGCTATGACTGACTTAAATCCACAGCTTTTTTAATGCAGTAAAATGGGCCACAGAATCTTATCGACGTATTACTTTAGGGAATGTTGCTACAGAGCAGACAAAGTGTAGAACAACCAGATGTAAGTTTTAAATAGATTCAGCTGAGCAGGAAGTGCAGCGTGAATGAACAGAAGAAACAGATTTCTTACATTCTTATGCCTTTTATCTCTGAAAGCAACAGGAAGTGCTGTAATAGTCTAGACAGATACACACACAGCACTAAAAGAGTGTACTTTTTAACACAGTGCTGGTAGAAAACAAGGAGATCCTTAAGCAGGAGCTCAGCTAAGCTGCGGAGTAACCTGGGAGTGAGTGGCGGTCTGGCTGGGGGCTGGAGGAGAGGGCAGCAGACCGCTCAGTCATGGGTCTGAGAGGCGATGTGCCCTGTATTTTCAGTGAGGCTGCGTCTGTCGAGTGGGGTAGGTTTGGGCATCTATTCCTCAGACTCCTTTTGGAGAGTTCAAGGAGAAACTGCTGAGAGCTTCCGGACGCCGCGTGGAGAACAGTTGTCTGTGTGCCAAGTATGAGACGGATGGGCTGGGAAACAGCTGAAAGGCCGCTCCTTCCACCCTGACCCCCCAAACAGGGTTTCTAATGGAAAGGCTGACAGACCCTTCACTGCAGTGGCACTACTGGGAGGGCTATAATATTACCCTCATAATTCTACTATATAATAACAACAGAGAAAAAGAAGGTGAAGGGTCACTGTGCTTTGTCTTTAGAATTAAGATGGCTGTCTTCATCCTTACAGCATACTCTTAATTCTGGAGACACATCTTAATAACCTCTAAATAGTTCCAACAAAAGAGCCGTGTCAGAGGAATGAGCAGGCCCCAAGGTGTTTCAACGGGAGTGTTTTCATCTGCCTTTATTGCTCTATCCCTCTCCAGAATTAAGGCAATAACCTGTGATAAATTATTCAGAACTGCTACAGGGATCAGAGCAGAATCATTCTGTTAAAGTGCTGTTTGCAACATTTGGCACTTAGTGCGAAAACTTTTAATGTGCACATGCTGAAAATCAAGGATTTTAAATAATTTAACATCGCGGAGTTTTTACGAAGGGACTAAAGATAGCAAGGTCCTATTTAACTGCTCCTCTTCCTCTGAGAAGTTTTCATTCATTTTCCTTGCAACAATGACGTCATGGCCAAATCAAAAGCGCTCATGACTCACGGGAGCACTGCACTACATTTTACTATGGATAAAATTACAGGGAGAAAATACACTTTGAAATAGCCCTCCAGGGCTAGGATTTGTCACCGTGTTTTCTATTTCCCCTTCACTTTTTAAGAGGGAAAAACCTCAGACAGAAATTCAACATGCTCTTCAATTTTATTAGGACTAAGTAGGAAAACAAAGCTATAAATTTAAACAGTTTTGCAGCATTTGCTTTCCTCACAACTATATTTCAGTTTGGCAACACAGGTCCTCAATGTTTAAGACCTCCTGAAATCTGCATTTGAAAAATATCTATAAATAGGGAGTTAGAAGATTCTGGTAAGGATTATAAATTAAATGAATTTGGCAGTCTGGCAGCATTTTCATAGAGATATTTTAACAGAATCACCTCCTGTGGGTTGGAATACTAAATACTTTATTGACGAACAAAACTGGACTGTTTTTATCTCTGGCAGTTGCAAAATGAAGTACCTGAAAGCACTTTGCATGTATTATTTACTCATCAAGATAGAAAAACAGTCTTAACCTAATAAATTACACTTAAAAGCATTTAGTGCAAAAGTTTTGTTTACGATAAAGCAACAGATTTAGTTCTTTACCGGTAGCTTAAAGCACCAAGTTTTCTTTACACAAATTAGACAGATGGTGCTTACAGTAGAATTTACTAAAGGTCTGTCACAACAAATGCAGCCAAGCTGCATATTTAATCACTGCAGAATCTTGTCTACCTGCAGCTGCCAACTGCTAATCCAATTTCCCTGATAAATGTGGCAAGAGACACGATCAGCAATAAAGAGCATCTAACTCCATTTTCCTGCAGGGCGTCTTTTGATGAACATTTAGGACGGAAGCGCCGAGTGCACTGTATGGCCTCGGTTCGTGGCAGCTGCGTGCATTCTGAGTCACAGTTCTCAGGTTACTCACTTAATTCTGCCACTATCATTACGTTGCTATTGATCTCGGTGGCTGTTGCCTACACAGCATTACTCTAGATGAAGCTGAATCAGGCAGCTATCATGCATCAGACTTGCTCAAAAGCCTGGAGATTTCCCTTAATTACTTGTGATTTTATTTGCAAATACCGTTAAAGTGTAATCAAGCAGTCACTTTCCAGGGTCGTTAAGAACTTGCTGGTTTAGGGATATATCACTGGAACTCCATTAAAAATGACTCTAGGAAGACGGTTTCTATCAAACTAGATGGGCTTAGAACAGGCTTAGAACATAATGAAATCTTCAAATGAGACAAATGTAATTTTTATAAAGATGGTGTTTTTTTTTAACGTGCTCACTGCTTTATTTTGATAAGGGCAGCAACAGTCACCTTCAAGCTGACTTTACTGGACAGCAGAAATATTTGCAAGGCATCTAAAAATATAGTTACCCTAAATAGAAATTGTGATAAAAGAATTCAGCAATACAGGAAACACAGAGAAAATATGCAAGATCTTTTCCAGTTGTATCGTTTCACAATCATGGCACACTGATAAACAGTCATTTTAAGAACTGTAAAATGTATAGCACTTGGAGAATTATATTTTGAGGAAGATTCCACAGATACCATCGAAAGCCATCATTTTTTCCATTTGGCTTCTTCCTGTTATTTTTATTTTTGTTTTTGGTGAAAGGAAAAGAGTAGCCATGCAAAAGATGGTTAATATTTCAACATATTCCATGTAACAATAAAGTCTGACTCAAGCATCACCATCAAAGGTGCCTTGACTCTTTGGAGTGCATCTGTTATTCTTTCAAAGATGATAGTCAGTGTCAATCTATTTAATATAGCCCGGATACATTATAATTCCAGGAGATCCTATTTCTGTGTAGCAGAGCTGTGGTTCCCATCCCCCATGTTAAAGTAGGGCGGCTTTGTCACAAACAGCTTGCTATACTTAAGGATTTTACTAATAAAACACAATGTGGTCTTAGATATTACGACTGTTGCCACAGCTGAACTGACTTGTCAAATCAATCCTAATATGGCTCCCACAGGCACATAAAAACCTTATTTAGCTATCAGTTATCCTAATCACTTTGTTCAGTTACGAATGCAATACTTCAAGACCAGCTCCTATTTGCACATATATGCCTAGCCATTTAATAAAGTCTTGATTTATATAAATCCTTGTTTAAAAATATTTAGAGATGTAGTGTTTAAGCATGTTGTGTCTTTGTGCATTTTCCACTTGGATGCGTTGAAACATCCAGCAGAGGGTAGATAAGTGGACAGATGTTTCAAGTGGCGCACACACAGGTGCGCTCTCGTAGACATAGACAAGGTCTAGTCTAAGAGGTGCGCACGAGGCATGCTCTAAAAGACAAGTTCGTTGTCTAATCATGAGATGGCTGTCCAATATCACTCAGACTTCAAAGTCCATTTGTATTAGAAGCTAGGGCTGGGCTCCCTTGGAAAGCACAGTTTGGAGACAGGTGACGGGAGTGCAGGCAAGCCTGAGGAGGCCCAGAGTGCCCCCCTCCCCCCTCCCTCCCTCTCTCTCCCTCCCTTGCTCCCCCCTCCCTCTCCCTTCTCTCCCCCCTCCCTCCCTCCCTCCTTGGAACTCATGTAAGAACAAAATCATCTTTCTTCATTGGACAAAAACCCACCTTCACATCTTCCTGTTTAAAGTTGTTGTTGAATATTTGTAACACTGTTTCAAAAGAGACTGTAAGAGGCAGCATAAAATTCTCAAATTCATCCTCATCTTCACCTATCAGAGAAATAAAAGGGTCACACATGGTTTAACCTGCGTACGACTGTGTGTTAACCCCAGCCCTGAGCGCCTCTCCCAGGAAGAGGTCGCACCCTTCCACACGTGTGCCTCGGCTCACTGAATATTCTGGTGCTCTGCCTTCTCTTTTGCATCAAATGAAATAGAAAAATTACTTACCAGCCATTTTCTTTATTGGCTCTAATAGGCTCATGCCTCCGGCAGCTCAGCCCTGCAGCCTCTGGGTCTCTGAGGCCTCCAGGAAGGCTGCTGCCAAAGCCGCCGAGACAAGGGTCTACTCTTCCCTTCTCTCAGGTGCCACGGACCGGGCGCCCAGAGGGTTCTACCTGAGTATTCTTTTAGTTGTGTTCTTTTTCAAACTGATTTATTACATAGATGGCAAAGGCAGTGTTATATGCCCCAAAGGACAGGGTCTCCCAGGTGTCACTGGATTGTCCCTATCCTCTCTGGGAACACGTCTCACATTTTATTTCCTTTTCATTATGGACAATAGGAAAAAGAGAAATCCTACATTAAATTTTCTTCAATGTTTCTGCTAAAGCAGAACCTTCACTTCATACACAGGTATACACAACCTGTCATCTCTATTTTTTTCAAAAGCAGTCTCTTTGGAAATGAGATTGGATTATCTGGTTGATATTATACCACAAAGAACCATGAGCCAGCCCATTTCCTGATGAAGAAACAGAAAGGCTAAGCGTGGCCGACACCGTGGCCGACACGGTGGGGGTGGAATGGCGCGGTCCACACTCATCTCTGTGCCACTAGAATGCTTCAACAGAACACTGGCAGGAGAGAAGAACTCAACGGCTGGGAAGGTGGCTCGGCGGCGGAGCGCTTGCCTTGCATGCCAGAGGCCCTGGGTTCGATTCCTCAGCACCACATAAGCAAAAAGAAAAAAGCCGGAAGTGGCGCTGTGGCTCAAGTGGTAGAGTGCTAGCCTTGAGCTGAAGAGCTGAGGGACAGCGCCCAGGCCCAGCGTTCAGGCCCCATGACCGGACCCAAAATAAAAAAAGAAAGAAGAACTCAAGAAGAGACAGCAACCAGAAGCTTTCTTAGGACAATGTCAGTGAACAGGAAAGGAACAGACTGGACTGGATCAGCGACAGGCTAGGGGCACAGACCCCCCCCCCCCCACTGTGGGCGTGGAGGCTGTGCAAGGGCTGGATTCGGGTCCCGCTTACATGGGACCCAGGAATGGCACTTTCGGTGAGGGCTGGGGTGGACTGCCCGGCCTGGGCAAGGGGCCAGGGGCCGCAGGTGAGCATGCAGCGGCCGGCTTGACCTGGGGAGGGCAGGGCGGGGCCACTTCTTCCCACTGCATCGCCAAGAGCAGAGAGGCAAGGCCTTCAACCTCGGCTTGGCAGCCTGGGCATCCCTGAGGGATGTGTTAGATGCACACTTCTACCAAATACAAGCTTCGTGGGCGATTCAGATGCCTGCTAGCATTGGAGAACCCGACCTACCCAGGACCTCACAGGGAAGGGTCCTAGGGTGCAGTACGGGAGTTCTACGCTCAGGCCAGGCCCCAGGCCTTCCACACTTTAGTTACAATGTGGATATGGTCTCGGGGCCAGCCTGGGACCCCAGTCCTCCCTCTGTCACCTCTGCAGTAACTGCGATGACGCCATGCTCAGCTACTGGTTGCTAACTTCTTGCCTGGGCTAGCCTTAGCCAGCTTCCAAAATAGCTGGGGACACAGGGCTTAAAATGCAGGCCACTGGACACAAGCCTCATTTGGGAGACCAGGCCACAACCGTGAACCGGGGCTCACTGACCACGATGTTGGTCTCTCCTGACTCTTTTTAAAGAGTGGCTGATCTGGATAACTGCTATTTTTTTTATGATGGTTCTCTTCCCTCTGAACTCACGTAATTTGTTTCAGTAGTCTAACGGAGTCAAGGACTTGGCTTTATTGACAAAACCATGCCAAAATCTTTCTTAATCTGCTGTTCTAGACAAAAGATCCTAAGTGAAGACAAACACAGACCGAATTACAAGCCCTCTGTCAGGTGGTGTGCAGCCGTGCTGTCCCCCTTCTGCTGGCCGGTGGTAGCAGACCGGCACAGAGTGCTGAGGTGCGTGCTCCGCAGCCCCTTTGCACATATTCTCCCTTCTCTTTTTGGTCTCCTGTAGCATCGTGCCCAGCCCTTTTCTTCCTTCTTGCTGGGGATTAAGCCTAGGGCTTCATGCATGCTAAGTGACCACTCTGCCTTTGAGTTATGCCCTCCCCCGGCCCTTCACAATAGTCTAAGTTTGTTGTGAAGCTAGGCACTAGTGCCTCACGCCTGTAATCCTACATACTCAAGAGGCTGGGATCTGAGAATTGTGGTTCAAAGACAGCTTAGACAGGAAAGTCCGTGAGACTCTTATGTCCAATTAACCACCAAAGTGCTAGAAGTGGAGCTGTGGCTCAAGTAGTAGGGTGCCAGCCTTGAGGGAAAAAGCTAAGGAAAGGCCCTGAGTTCAAGCCCCAGTAGGAGTATACACACAAAAAATCTTGAATTACAGATATTTAAGCATAGCTCCCTAAAACCAGCAATACTGTAACGCTACCTGTATCATACCATTACCACTACCATTTGACCAGAGATACTGTGGGGACTGAAGGAGACAAAACTTACACTGTGCGTATGTAAATGATCAACCATGAGCTCACACTGACAGTACCTTGGGCATAGCTTCTGGAGTGCTGGAACTGTGCACCGCTGTGTTTCTGTGATGGTGTGTGACGTGAGGCTTCTCCATAAACAGGCCCAGCTACCTGACTTCACCACACACTATTTAACTGCGATACTTTCGAATCAATGTGAGCCTTAGTTCCCTCACGTATAGGGATAAACCTACCTCTCTTTTACTGTAAGATCAAACGTTAGGAAAAATGAAAGCTGCTCATCTGGGCTCAGCAGCTCAAGTATGTAACCCTAGCCACGCTGGAGGCAGAGGCCACGGGTGACAGTTCAAAGATAGTCCCAGAAAAAAATCCGAGACTCCATCTCAGCTGATGGCTGGTGGCCGCCTTCACCCCCTGCAACACGGGGAAACACGGCAACAGTATTAACCTGGAGACCAAGACAAACAAGGATCCCACCTTGCAAACAACCAATGCAGAAAGGCACTAGAAGTGTGGGCCACGGCTCAGAATGCCTATCTAACAAGCATGAGTTCAAAAAAAGAAAGAAAGGAGGGAAAAGGGGGATACTCAGAACATAGCAGCGATGGCACTAGCATTTTAGTATTAGTGCCAAAACAGTGCCTGGCATTATTAGGTATATACTATGTTTGAATGCGTGACAGTTGCTCAATAAAGGTGAATATTTAAGGTCCTCATGTTCTTAAAGCCTGATCTGAAAACAACAACAACAAGAAGGCTGTGGATGTAGTTCAGTAGCATAGCGCTGCCTAGCTTGTACAAAGCCTTGGTTTCAATTCCCAATGTATCGCTCTCTGTCTCTGTCTCTGACTCTCTCTCACACATACACCCAAATCCACCACCACCAAAAAGCCAAAACCAAAAAACAATGGCTGAATATGATCAAATCCTACACATACAATTTACAGTAGGCACAGAGTTCAATGCCGTCTATACGCAATTTGTGTTTTCCCCATTATACCACTCAACTTCTGCTAACAACAGAACTAACGCCACACTTTATTATTTAAATTAGGCACATTAGCTTTGAGTGCCCCTTGTTTTTTAAAGGCATATTTTCACAAAATTAAAGCCAGGCAAACGTCCAGCAGATCATGCAGTGATGTGAACACAACTACCAATAACGAAGGACTGAGTGAGAGTTTCTCTGCACCAGGGAAAGTATGTGTGTGCAGGAATTAAATATTTTTTTTTAAAGTCAAGTCTTTATTAAAAGGCTGGCAACTACATGGTGGACTCCTGTCTTAAAGACCAGCGGCCAAAATGGTTTTTTGTTTTTGTTTTTTTTTTTTTTTTGGTCGGTCATGGGGCTTGAACTCTGGGCTTGGGCGCTGTCCCTCAGCTCTTCAGCTCAAGGCTAGTGCTCTACCACTTGAGCCACAGCGCCACTTCCGGTTTTCTGGTGGTTTATTAGAGATAGGAGTCTCACGAACTTTGCTGCCCGGGCTGGCTTTGAACTGTGATCCTCAGATCTCAGCCTCCTGAGCAGCTAGGAGGTGGCGTGAACCACCAGTGCCTGGCTTAAATGTTTGTTTTTGAAATACTTACCTACCATGTGGTATCAAGCTGTGAGTGAAGTGGGCTCACTGTGTATATACATAAAGCAAAATCTTACTCTGTTTTCTCAATGTGGTTCTCCCCATCAAAAGTCTCAAATATCTCGAGAGGTAGAGAAAGGTACTGAAAAAAGTGCATTCAAGTCAGGAGGTCTGTCTCAGCCTGAGTCCTGACTGTCCAACCTCTAAGCCTGGCTATCCTTGCTTGTAACGGGGAGATTGATATTTACCTTCTAAGCCTAGCTGTGTGGGGTTAGCCATCTGCAGCTCCCCTTGCTGGAACTTCATAAATGACAGCCACTGGCACTTTGGTTAAATAAAGTGTGACCACAGATTGCTGTCCCAGCACACTTTCCTTTGGGAACAGAGCTGCTCCAACAAACCTTCGCTTCTCCAAGGTAAAGATGCTGATCCACAAAAAATATAGATTCAGGCAGCAGGGACCTCAGAGAGTCCGTCACCTGCCATGTTTAGGTCCACACCACAGCTGCACCCAGAGCGTCCGTAGGAGAGCACAAAGTTCTTCTCGTCAAGACTTGAGACAGTGCCTAACTGCTCCTTTGAACAAGGGCCAAACGCGGCCTCCGCTCCTGTTTCCAGTTTTCCCTAGGTGGAGGAGTCCCATCCACCTCTGAGATGACCTGTGGCTTCAGGCAGGCCAGGGCATTTCAGTATCTGTCAGAGTGTCGTCAGTGCTTGCTTCTATAGGGAAATAACAGCCCTAGATACCGAGGGCACGGTTTGATGCATTAACAGCCCCGAACATCCCT